ATGGGGTTCTAGCTCGAATAGTGGTCTGAAGCTTGTAGGTCGCCATATCCTGGAAGATCACTGGGTTGCTGTTTAGCTCTTTTCAGTTTCTATACCCACAGGTTCCATTTCATCATTTGCTTCTGTTTCTTCTTCCTCAAAGATCATTGGGTTGCTGTTTAGCTCGAATCAGTTTCTATACCCACAGGTTCCATTTCATCATTTGCTTATGTTTCTTCTTCCTCAAAGATCACTGGGTTGCTGTTTAGCCCTTTGTAAACTAGCTTGTAGGTTGTTTTAACAGAGTATAGTCTAGTTTTTTTCAAGGGCCCATACCTTTGTATCTGGTATTGGTTGGCGTGGGATTGGAATTCCCTCAATTCGGGCTCTATCAATTTGGTTGAAATAGTGTTGTAGGAGAGGCCATTGTTTGAGGTTGTGAACGATGAGATCAGTTACTCTCCCCAGATTATCCTCTGTTTGTCTGGGAGTAGTAATTTTGAAACCTGCATCTTCAGCTCCTGCCACCCATCTATCCTCCCATATGTCCACTTGTGTCTCATACCCTATTCTCCATCTTATTCCTTTTTGAACGAGGTCTTGAGCTGCCATGATACTTCTCCAAGTGTAACTGGGGTTTGTTCCCACCTGGGCTTGTAGTACATCACAATTTGGGTAGCATTTTGCTTTTAGAATCCTTGTTGCCAAGGAGTCTGGATTGATAATTAAGTTCCAGATCTGCTTCCCTAACAATGCAAGGTTGAAAGCTCTCAGATTCTTAAATCTCATGCCTCCTTCTGCTTTTGGTTTGCATACCTCCTTCCATGCTTTCTAAGGGATTCTTTTTTCCTCTTTTTTTTTACCCCACCAGAAGCTTGAGATGGATTTTCTAATTTCATCGAGAACACTATGTGGGATTAGGAACACAGACATAGAATAGGTAGTTCGCCTTTGAGCAACAACTTTGATAAGGACTTCTTTAGCAGAAATGGATAGAGAATGGCTCTTCCATAATTTAACCTTCTTTCTGACTTTATCCACTAATGCCCCAAAAGTACCCTTCTTCTGTCTTCCAATTGTAGTGGGGAGACCTAGGTATTTTGCATGCTCTGATACTTGCTTCATTCCCAAGATAGACACCAAATTATTTCTCTATTCTGCTGTTACACTCGGACTGAAGCTTATCTCTGATTTCTGCAGGTTTACCATCTGCCTAATTCCAACTCATAGGTCTTCAATATCTCTATCAAGAAATTGCATTCTTGGGGAGTAGCACGTGTAAAGAAGATGTTGTCGTCTGCAAACAAAAGGTGAGATACTGATGGTCCTCGAACTGAAGCTTTTAGACCATGTATCTTGCCATCCCTTGTTGCTTTTGTCATTAGTGCTGAAAGTCCCTCTACACAGAAAATGAATAAGTAAGGAGATATAGGGTCCCCTGTCATAGTCCAAGTTCTGGTTTGAATGTTTCAGTCTGGTGTCCATTAATTAGTATTGAATAAGTAACAGTCGAAACACAAATCCTTACTAGCTTGGCCCAATGTTCTACAAAATCCAGCTTCAGCATGATTGCCTTGAGGAAAGTCCACTCAACACTATCGTAGGCTTTAGAAATGTCTAATTTAGCTGCCATTAGACCCTTCTTGACCTTAGTTTTCTGCTTCATTGTATGTAACAACTCAAAAGCTACTAACACATTGTCTGCAATTTATCTCCCTGGGACAAAAGCACTCTAGGGTTCATCGATAATTTGATTCAGCATTCCCTTCAGTCTATTTGCTATTACTTTCGAGATGATCTCGTAGATCACCTTGTAGAGGCCTATAGGTTTAAAGTCTAGGGGGTTTCTGGTTATTTCTTCTTTGGTATCAGAGTTATTAGTGTGTGGTTGAGCTGTTGGGGGAATTCTCCATACTCCAAATAACTCTTGATTTCCTCCTTTATTGCTGGTCTAACAACCACCCAATTTTTTTGGAAAAATCTGGCTGACATGCCATCCGCCCCAGGAGCCTTATTTGGTCCCATCTGTTTCAGGGCCATCCAAATCTCTTCATCATATTAGGGTTTTAGAAGTTCCTGATTCATTTCTGATATTACTTTGGGAGTAACGGCTGCAAGAATCCTACTATGTTCTGGTCGTGTTCCTGCTTTAAATAGAGTGTGTAAGTACTGTCTCAAGCAGTTACTAACCTCTTGTTGTCCCATGAAGACCTGGCCAATCTCATTCATTAGATTCTTTATGGTATTCTTTCATCTTCTCTCTGAAGCTTTTCAATGAAAGTATCTGTATTGCAGTCACCTTCTTTGAGCCAGTCAGCTCGAGATCGTTGCTTCCACTTCATCTCCTCGTGGAGGATAATCTCATTTAGCTCATGTTCAAGTACTCTTCTCTGGATCTGAACATCTTTAGTCTTTTTCCTCTTCTCTAAGACTCGAAGAGCCTTCTCTGCCCGTTTACGCCTTTCTTTGAGAGAACCAAAAGCAGTTTGACTCCAACTTTTGAGTCTGTTCTCGCAGTTTTTGATTCTATCCATTATTTCTAGACTTGGGTAAGCAAACCACTCTTCTTTAATTACTGTCCCACAGTCTTCGTGTCTTTTCCAGTACGGTTCGTATCTGAAGTTCCACCCCCAAGTAATCTCTTCCTCTTCCAAATTTAGTTTTACCTGGATGGGAATGTGGTCAAAACCACACCTTTCCAAATGATTGACTCGCATTAAAGGGAAGCAATCAAGCCATTGTTTATTCCCTACTGCTCTGTCTAGTCGTTCTTCTGTGCAGTCCTCTCTTGATTTGTTATTTTCCCAGGTGAAGGGTCTCCCATAGAAGTCACAGTCTTGTAGATCGCAGGATTCCAATGTATGTTGAAACATTTCCATTTCCTTTATATCAGGCCCTCTAGTGCCACTTTTTTCTAGATAGTCCATTATGAGGTTGAAGTCCCCCATAACTAGCCATGGGATCTGGATATGTCTGTGTAAATCAGCAGTAATTCACATGTTTTGTGCTTGTTCTATCTTTCTGGCCAGCCATAGATTCCCGTTAGTCTCCATTCGCTGTCAAGGGATGGCATTCTTACCTTTGCATCAATGAAATGGGCATCCACTTTCTTTATTTCAACCTGGACGTCTTCCTTCCACATCATGAGAAGATCCCCAGATCTATTGATCCCTGCATCTATCCCTTTGCCATCAAAATATCCAAATTCTTTGATTTTCTGTTTGCATTCCTTCTCATACTGTCGTGTTTCCATCAGGAACACGATGTCAGGATTTGCTTGGCGAAGAAGAGTCTTCACCTTTTCAACTATCAGGGTATTCCCAAGTCCCCGACAGTTGTAACATAAAAAATTCAATGGGCTGGGCGGCCCTGCTTCGTTGCAGGGTCTGCCTCACCGCCAACCAATACCTTCGATTGTTGAAGCTACTCAGTTGCTTGAGATTGTGGGAAGACAAGAGTCTTTGCTCTCTTTAAAGTCTTGTCCTCTCTGTCTCCCACTATAGTAGTCCCATTTGGTAGTTCAATATTTCGTTTCTGAGGCGTGTGATGTAAGTGGGAAGTTTCTCTTACTCGCTCCTTCTCTTGTCTTTTCCATACTTTCCCTACCATCCTCCAATAGGTTTTCTCATTTTCTTTGCTTGCAGTAAACATCTTCACAGCTCCTGCCTTTCCAGCAATACTCTTCCGAATATTGCCAGCCTGAGAAGTTTCGTTGAAAACCCCTTCCTATTGTGTGACTGCATTTTTAACCATCGCATGTTCCTGTTGGGTTTGGGGCACTGTATCCTTGATTGAAACTCCTTCAACTCACCACCAACATTGAGTTTGATTTTTTCCTTAGTGGATTGTTGATGGAGATGCTAACTCTGAGACGTAGGAAATCATCACATACTTTGTCTGAGCTATCATCAAAGAACACAAATTCTCCAACCTTGTTAGCAATTTTTTCTGCCATAGATTGAGTTCTAAGCTCCGCTGGGAAGTCTTTAACCTGTATCCATAACTCCATTTTATGCAGGTCTGGTGGAGTTAGTTTCTTTATCCACCAACTAGCCATAAATAGCATAGCACTATTCTCATAGTGCCAAGGTCCGTCGTAGCACACCTTATTACGATCATCCATCTCCAAGAATTGAAAAGCAAAGAGGTCATTACCTAATACCGTTATTTGGTACCCTTTCTTCAAGCCCCACGCCTTTGTTAGCGCGATTTTCATTGACTAAATATTTGGTTCTTTGTCTGATACCAGTCTTCCAACTAGTCCCAAGTGACGAACCGCCTCCATTCTGACCACATCAACATCTTCACCTTCGACCTCTAATGGTTCCTCGTCGTCCTCTGCCAGGGTAATTTGGTTGAGTCGCTCTTCAAGTCCTCCAGTGGGATTGAGCTCTTCATTGACATCCTTTTTAAGGGCGGCTTCTTCATCTTTATTGTTTGTGGATGTCATTGCGAATCTATCTTGTATAGACTCCGCTTTGTATACCTTGGATTATACGCTACAGAATCTCGTCGTCCTGCGGTAGGGTTCGTGAAAGAAATATGTCGTCTAGTCCTCTCTACTAGCAGCAATAGCAGTGATTAAGAAGTCCCTTTTGTATCCTTATATCTGTATTTCGTATGGTATTTCTCTCCGGATCCAATTTCCGTCGTCGTGTTGTAATCGGAAAGCCTAGGGTTTCCGCCGCCAAGTCACGCTCTCGCTAAACGAGATAAAAAAAAAACCCTTGATTACAATATTAGGATGGCGTTAGAATGTAGGATTTACATTTTCCATTTCATGAATTTAAAAAAGAAGGAGAAAAATCTAGAGAGACAGGAAGATATAACTCCATTTTTTAATTTTCTTGTTTGGTATAATAATAATCTTTTGGTTGGATTATATAGTAATAAATTGATAGCTGAGTTTACTAGAGTAAAATAAACAAATAAAATAATAATGGAAAAGAAAAAAAACAAAGGCAAGCATCATATACTTGAGTTTGACCTCTTCGTCTCTCTCCCCCTAATTTCCATTTGTCCCATTTCCCACTCCTCACATCACATCATTTCATTTCCTACCTTCCTCCCACTTCTCTATAAACCCCTCTCCCTCTCCGCCACCGTCGAACACAATCAAAATCCCTTTCCTCCCTCCTCCATTTCCGTCGCTACTAAACAATTAAGACCTTGATGGGATCACTCAACGGAGTTGAACACCCGCAGCTCCCCGCCGGTGCTAGACCAGCCGACGATCAAGCCAAGTGTCTAGAAGTTGACTCGACTCAGCAGACCATGGCTCAAATGGACAGAGGAGAAGCAGAGGATTTCAATTTCGAAAATAATCCGAACGGCGACGAAAACAAAGCGAACGCCGCTCCACCGGCGGTTGAAGTGGGGAAACCGTTCCCTAAACGCGGAACGGTGGTTGAGAATCCCGATGACTCAACCAGCACCGTTGATGAGCAGGAACAGGAAGGAATCGACGGAGTGATCACGCCTCATTCTCACCTCCCGAAGCCGGAGCCGCCTCCGGGCCTCGCACCTACCTCCCCTGACGAGCCGGTCAAAGAAAACGGATTCTCCGGAATACGCGCCGATTTGCTCGGGCGGTCCAAATCCCTAACGGAAACATTCGCCACCGTCGACATCGGGAAATTTTTCAAAGAGCGAAGCAACAGCTTGTCGGCGATCGCGAAGCGGCTGAGTCAAATCGGAGATTACAAGAACGAGTCAGATGGAGAGGAAGGGTCAGAGTCGGAGTCGTCGTTCAAGGAGGAGGAGAAGAAGAGGAACGAGTCCAATTGCGACTCGGTCGTGGACGTGTCCGAGTACAACATATCGGGACTCCGAGTGGTGGTCCGGCTGAAGAGCGGCGGCGAGGACGGAATCAAAGGGCGGATCAGCTTCTTCTCCCGGTCCAACTGCAGGGATTGCTCGGCGGTCCGGTCCTTCTTCAAGCAGAGAGGGCTCCGATTCGTGGAAATCAACGTCGACGTGTACCCGCAGAGGGAGAAGGAATTGATCGAGCGGACGGGGAATTCGCAGGTCCCGAAGATATTCTTCAACGAGAAGCTGTTCGGTGGGCTTGTCGCTCTGAATTCGCTGCGGAACAGCGGGGAGCTGGAGGGGAAATTGAAGGAGATGTTGGGGAAGCCTTGCCCCGGCGACGCGCCGGCCACGCCTGTCTACGGATTCGATGACCCCGAGGAGGAGGAGGAGGCGGCGGAAGAAGAGATTGTGGGAATGGCGAGGGTACTGAGGCAGAAGCTGCCGATTGAGGACCGTCTGATGAGGATGAAGATCGTGCGGAATTGCTTCTCGGGCGCGCAGATGGTGGAGGTGCTCATTCAACACTTGGACTGCGGCCGGAAGAAGGTACGTACGTTTCGCACGTGACTAGGCTTCTACTACATTTCCTTTTCTTTTTTTATAATAAATATATGGGGATTTTTTTTCTTTTATTTTTTTGGGCATTCTGAATTCAGTATTGTGATTTGGTGGGTGGATGGGATGCATAATGCCATTGCATTTGCATGCCACTTTTCATGACCGTTACATTATGGTTAGCCTGTCGTTGCAACTAACTATATATTCGCCTGCTGTCTTGGCAGTGTCCTTATTTTGGTATCATTTTAAATATTTTTTTTTCCTTAATTTTGAGATGGAAGGAAAATAGTTTTGATTAAGACATTGGAAAATATGTTACGGAAATAACTTTTCTGGGAACTATGTACTGTTTGGGTTTTTGGGACGTCTTGGTGCCGGACTTATTTTGGTAAAGCCTTAAATACAATACAAATCGTAGGAAAAAGGAAAGCATTAAATAGTAGAATAACTAAATATAGGGATATTTATTTGTCATAATGGCCATGGCGGACCGTACAAGAGGGCTTTCATGGTCAGGTCTTGGGCCTGAGTGAGCAAAGGAGGACGACATTTCATTGTTTTTGGCCCATTCTTTTATTGTGTTTTTTTTCCCTAGAAAAAAAATTCTATTTTTTATTTAAACCTTTTTCAAATTTTTTATATTATCCAAATTTATTAAAATATTATTAATTAGTGTAATCTTTCGTGCATCAAAATATTAGTCATTTTCACGTTATCATTACTAATTTTGTAACTCTTTTCTTATTTAAAATACTAAAATGTTGAAATGTTGACCTTTATGTGTTTCTTCAAAATCAGTATCATGTTGCCAAGTCGATATTACTAACAGAAAGTTAACATTTTGCTAATTCTTAGTATTTCGATAGATTTGACTAATAAAAAAGAATCCGAAAAAAGTTTGGCTAATAAATAAGTAGGCATTACCAACTAAAATGAGAGTAACTTGTCAAGAATGAGCAAGTACTATATCAAATTCTTCTATTTGAAGATTTGAATATCCAAACTTTGTTCCGATATCCTGTTCTGTTCTACCGTCGCACTAAGAAATCCTCTGAAATTTGTTATGAGAAATTAGTACTAGGGAGTTTATAGTAACTAAAAGTCCACCTTAGAAAGCACATTAAAACAAGCTCCAGTACTATTGCATCATCATCTCTGTAACTCTGTTTTTCTTTCCATCACAAATTTCGACCTTCCCATTGTCTGCTCTCTGCGCGTTTCCACCCCTTTTCGGGTCGATCGTAACCCAGAAAGTTCATGTCAGGCGGGGGCCTGCACTTCAATGTTGGTCATCGAAAGCTGCTGTACACTTTGTTAAATAAGCAAGTAGACCAGTTTGCAAAACTTACGGATGACGTCCAAAAGAGCAGATGAACCATTCATTGTTAAATGGGGTCCGCTGACAATGAGATAGGAGAGTCTAGGCCGGCATGATATGTCAAAATGTTGTCTATCCTCTCTTTTCTTTAATGCACACGTACACAAGTAAAGGCAGGCAGTGTCTGCTTGCCGGAGTTAATGTTGCAAGGATACTAACCAACTTTTTCTCAAAATGATATCTTCTTGCAGGCTGTTGAGATTGGAAAGCAGTTGGCTCGGAAACATTTCATCCATCATGTATTCGGGTAGGAATGCCTCTCACACTGAGATGGGTTCATCACATATCTACTTACCAACTTCTCATACTGATCACTGTCCCTTTCCTCCGCACAAAACAAATTATGCAGGGAGAACGACTTCGAAGATGGAAATCACTTGTACCGTTTCCTGGAGCATGAACCATACATCCCCAGATGCTACAACTTCAGGGGAACAACAAATGACCGCAGCCCCAAACCTGCAGTAGTGGTTGGAAAAAAGATGTACAAGATAATGTCAGCGATCCTGGAGTCATATGCCTCCGACGACAGGAGCCACGTTGATTATGACGGTATCAGCAAAAGCGAGGAATTCCGAAGGTAACACTCTCATTGAATTCCTCAATCAAGCTCCCATTACATAGTTTCGTCGTTAATCTTCATGATCAACGACAAACTTGATAATCTGATGCCAGATACGTTAACCTGGTGGAGGACCTGCAACGGGTGGATCCGCTGGGGCTCTCCCCGGACGAGAAAACAGCCTTCTTCTTGAACCTGTACAACGCGATGGTTATCCACGCAGTGATCAGAGTCGGTAGCCCCGAAGGGGTAACCGACAGAAGATCTTTCTACTCCGATTTCCAGTACATTGTTGGCGGATCGCCCTACTCTCTCAACGCGATCAAGAATGGAATTCTCAGAAGCAACAGGAGATCTCCTTACTCGTTGATCAAGCCCTTTAGCTCTGGCGACAAACGCTTGGAGGTAAATAAACAACGAACACATCATATTTTTTTTCGCTTTCCAAACAAAGTTTGAAGGGGAAGGGGGAAGACCAACTGACGCTGGCTTGGCAAACATACTCCGGTGGCAGGTTGCAGTTGACAGGGTGAATCCAACGATACACTTCGGGCTGTGCAACGGGACGAAATCGAGCCCGACGGTGAGGTTCTTTACAGCACAAGGGTTGGAGGCTGAGCTGAGAAGTGCAGCTAGGGAGTTCTTCCAGAGAGGCGGGATCGAGGTGGATCTGGAAACCAGGACGGTCTACCTCTCTCGTACCATGAAGTGGTGAGTTGATGAATTGCGCTCTCTATCTAAACCCATGAAGGGATGATCGAAAGGTACTGACTCGATGCTGTATTTGTAGGTTTGGGGGTGACTTTGGGCAAGAGAAGGAGATAGTGAAGTGGGTGATGAGTTACTTAGAGGGGAGCAAAGCAGGACTGGTGACGCATCTGCTGTCTGATGGTGCTGCCCTCCACATTGTGTACCAAAACTATGATTGGTCACTCAATTCTTAACACACTCGCCTCACCTGCGGCTGAGTGAGCTTTCCGCTCGTACCTCCACCGTTTCTTCTGCATATTTATCTTTACAATAGAAGATATACACACCACAGTTAAAAGAAAGGAAAAAGAGCGACTGCGATTGAAGACTTTAAAGCTATATACAGATTGAATCCCAAACCGATGTGCTGCTCAGGTGGCCTGGTGTTTTTTCTTTTCTTTTTTGCTTTTTAATTTTGTAGATAATTCCCCTTTAATGCATCTTCATCTTGGCGGGAGAAGGCGTCGTGGACTCGTGGCTAGGGGAAGCTGTTTCGTATTTGGGAGCGCACAAATTGTTTGCGTTGGTTTCTCGGAGAGGGAAGTTGCTTTTCCTCCCCAGTGTGTTCTTTTTCTATGATGACCTTGTACTCTTCTTTTTGGATATGAAATTGTGGGTGAAATATCAGAGTTGGTGTTTGAACCAGGGACCAGGATACCGTACCGGACCGGCCGGTCGGATCGGAAAAACCGGAAACCGGACCTGGCCCGGCACAACATGGTTTGTGTATCATCCAAGAGGCTGCCGGCCGGTTTTTACGGTTGGACCGCAATCGGCCGAAATTTCGGCCGGTTTTATTAAAACCGGCGGTCCCTTTAATTAGCTGAAACGGCGCCGTTTTGACCAAGTAAAAAAAAAAAAAAAAGAAGAGAAGCAGCGAAAGTCGAAACCCTACTCTCCTCTCGTCTTCGTCTCCCCAGCGCCGCTCTGCCTTTCCATCCAAAATCCAAATTCCTTTCCATCCAGCCACCGGCGACGGCGCCTCGCATCCTCTCGTCTCCCCCCGCGCCGCTCTGCCTTTCTCACCACCGGCGATGGCGCCTCGTCCTCCCCAGCAACGGCGCCTCGTCCTCCCCGGCATCGGCGACTCGTCCTCCCCGGCAACGGCGCCTCGTCCTCCCCGCCATCGGCGACTCGTCCTCCCCATTTTCTCAATCCAAAGTCCAAACACCACCGGCGAACACAACCACCACCAACCGCCATATTTAGTAAGATATTATACTACACTTGTTCCATATTTAGTAGACAATGACAATCCAGATTCATGGCACATAGACTAATTTTCTTTAAGCAATTGGCCATAGAGGAGATCTTCTCCAACTTACGTTTTGGACGCTTCAACCACATTTAATACCGTCTGAAACTAGGTTCGGTTCAGCACTTGGATTGCTCTATGCTACGTGTGTACTTGTATTAAAAATTACCATCAAGACTGCAGATTTCCAAAATTTCAAAGATGCTTCATTTTCAAGATCTGATCAAGAAACAGTGGAGTCAAGATGCTCCAATAAAGATGCTATTTTTAGGCGGTATAATCCAGTTTTATTCCGGTATTTTCCCGGTATGGTACCCTAATTTTGTCGGTACGGTTTTTTAACAAAAAAATAATTTTTTTATTCCAAAAACGGTATTTGCCGGTAGGAAATGGTTGAACCATGGTTGTACCACGATTTACCATGCCAAAAACGATTCTGGTTTGATGTCCGGTACGGTTTCGTAATCCATGGTTTGAACAAACAATTTTAGTGTTTGTATTTTTGAACAAAATTATTGATTACCTTTTAAGATACTTAGTTCAACCCTTTATATAGGCTATAAAGGTTTTAGGCTAAAAATTATTAAAAAAAAAACCCGAATTTTGGACCATAAGTCTCTTAATCCGCAAAGGAAAACAAAAAGAAACCCGCAACAGCAGGTCAAAATCCACGCCCTGATTATCAAATTCCTCGGTCGTGGATTTCATCCTCCAGACTGTGGATTTTGGCCTTCGCTCCCTGGGCATTTCCCACGATCCAAACTCCATTTCCACGATCGTGGATTTCATCCTCCAGACCGTGGGTTTGACCTAAGATAGCCTCAACTTGAATCGTCATCACTTCTCGTCCCACGAACAGCTCGGCCTCTATACTTGTGAAGTTCTGGGCCAAATAAGCTTTAAGTCGACTCTTGAATGTCTTGGCTTGACTTCTAGTGACCAGACCATGTTCCTCTCGCACCAAAGTTCGACTTGTGATCGCCTTATTGTTGTGCCCTCATCATCCCCCTCCACTTGAAAAGGATTTGCCTCAAATTTGAGTCGTCTTCAAAAAAAGGAGCTAAGTCTACAACATTGAACGTTGCACTCACACCATACACGCTCGGCATATCAAGCTTGTAAGCATTGTCATTGATGCGGGCGAGGACTTGAAAGGGACCATCACCACGAGGCAACAACATAGAATGTCGTTGATGGGGAAAACGTTCCTTCCTCATGTGCACCCAGACCCAATCTCCTGGCTTGCATCGTTGAGAACGCCAATGCTTGTTCACGTTCTTCAGAATCTGCTCAGCCAGTCTCTCTATGTTCAGCCGCGCCTTCTCATGCAAACCTCGAACAAACTCTACTTTCTTCGCACCATCTAAATCCACACGCTCATTGACAGGTAATAGACAAATCCAATGGGATTACAGGATTTAATCCATACAAAATCTCAAATGGTGAAAACTTAGTGGTAGAATGAATAGCCCTATTATATGCAAACTCTACATGAGTTAAGCATTCATCCCAAGACTTGATATTACTCTTAATGACAGCCCTAAGCATTTGAGACAAAGTCCTATTAACTACTTCAGCTTGACCATCCGTTTTAGGGTGGAAAGTAGTAGAAAACAGCAACTTAGTACCAATCTTACTCCACAAAGTTTTCTAGAAGAAACTCAAGAACTTGACATCACGATAAGAGACTATAGTACGAGGCATACCATGCAACCTGACAATTTCTCGAAAGAACAGTTCAACTACATTAGGTGCATCATCAGTTTTGTGACATGGGATAAAGTGCGCCATCTTTGAAAACCGGTCACCCACAACAAACACAAAATCTCTTCCATTCCTAGTCCTAGGTGATCTGACACACTAAAACAAAACACCAAACTACGATCAAGTATAATCGTAGAATGGAAATGCAGAATAGTGGTTCAGGTTTACTTATTAACCCGGGTCCTAGATGTACTGCCTACTCCGTGATTATCTATTATATAGCGATTAAAATTGAGTAAAGTGTTCAAAAGCAAAAAAAACATAAAGCATGAAATGTTTTGGTTTCAAGTATGCTAAAGGTCATCCAGATATGAGTCCCCCTAGTATGCAATTAGTTCATATTATATGTTCCCAATTTGTTGATTGGTAAATATATTGCAGAAAGTTCTTGACAAGTCTGGAATCTCGACTAAATTAATCCAGACCCTCTTAGTTTGAATACCCGGCGGGCGACTAATCTCCACCGGCATAAACTAACCAAGGCAATAACACACCAAACTTCCTCTACTGGCATCAATTCCAGTACAGAGTAGTGAATTGATTTCTCGACTAAAGCAATCAATTGACCACTTCCAATTTAAGGTTGCTCTATTAATCTATGCATAGACTATCATTCTAGGTTAAAGCAGGAATCACAAAATTTTGATCAAGACTCACGCAATTCTGATTAATGCCTCAATTGAATATATTGAATCAATCATTCACAAACGAAGTTCATACAACCATTCCTAACATACAAAACTAGGGTTCTTCATACCCAGATGAAAAGGGATTTTACTTCATGGAGAGAAGGGAAAACACAAAGCTTGAAGAGAAATCATCATGTGAGGAATGAAAATCTGCTCCAAGCTAGATATCGGCACTCTGAGGGCGAAAGATAAAGTTCCAAAGTCCTTAGATCGCTCCAATCCTCTCCCAAGGTTGTTCTTCGTCACTTTCTTTCTCTAAGGTTTTCTTTTTGCTCTTTAGAACTCAAAAATCCAAATACCTTTCAATCTGCCCGAGCTTACCTTTTAAAGGCTAGAAATTTGCGAGTTACGGGAAAAGTTACGGTCGTAACTCGCTTGTCCAGCCTATAACTTCTCCATAAAACGTCGACGTTTCTGCACTCCATAAATCGAGAGTTATGACTCCCATAAAGAAGTTACGGTTGAGACCGTAACTTTGCAGGGCAAGCCGAAACTTCAAAAATGCTCATGGAACCTCAGCCCCGCTTCCTCAGAGTTACGAGTATGGAGGGTAAGTTACGGTCCAGATCATAACTTCAAGGGCCTGACCTTAACTTTCAAAGTTCTTCTGGATTCCTGGCTTTTGCTCCTCCAAAGTTACGGGCTGCACGAGGAAGTTACGGTCCAGACAGTAATTTTCAAGGTCTGGCCGTAACTTTTCCCTGCTCTTTGCGCGATCGCTTCAAAATGTCACAAAACTCGCTCCTTCGCACCCATTAACATACTAGGACCTGAAACATCATAAACCAACACAACCTAGCGTAAAATAGGTCACGAGAGTGAGAAATCGAGCTCAAACGATCAAGAAATGACAGGAAATACATGTCCAAATATGTTGTTATCATAATCCAAGAACAAAATCCATATAGATAACAATCGAATGAGCAGTAGGAATAGGGAGATGAATATATAACCCATTTGCCTGAACTCTTGACTTGGCTTGGTGACACTTAAGACACCTTGCACACACCTTCTCCACATCACTTCTCATGTGAGGCCAGTAGAAATATTCTTGGAGGCCATCCAAAGTCTTGGATACCCCAAAATGAGTCATAAGGCCTCCACCATGAGCCTCTCTAACCAGCAACTCACGAATTGAAGCATGAGGCACACAAAGTTGGTTAGCACGAAACAAATAACCATTAGCTTGATAATATTTTCCCTCAACATGCTTCTCGAAGCCGCATAAATCTCACCAAAATCCGGATCATTGACATACAGCTCTTTGATATGCTCAAACCCAAGGAATCGAGCATCAAGAGTTGAAATCAAAGCATAACTGCGAGAAAGGGCATATGCAACAACATTCTCCTTACCTTGCTTGTAGAAGATCACATAGGGGAAGGATTCAATGAACTCCACCCATCAAGCATATCATTTGCTCAGGTTATGTTGTGCCTTCAAGTACTTCAAGGATTCATGATCAGTGTGGATCACGAACTCCTTAGACCAGAGGTAATGTTGCCACGTTTCTAGAGCTCGAACAAGACCATAAAGCTCTTTGTCATACATGGGATAGTTCCAGGCAGCCCCATTCTACTTTTCGCTAAAGAAGGCGATTGGCCTCTTCTCCTGCATCAAAACAGCACCAATGCCTACACCAGAGGCATCACATTCGATCTCGAATGTTTTAGAAAATTCAGGCAATATCAGCAAAGGAGCATGGGTTAGTTTATCAGTGCAAAACATGCATTTCTTAAGATTACCGTACAATTGCTTTTTTTGAAGAGTCTCCAAGGTGATTCACGCGGTCATCCAAGTTATTATAATAAATAAGAATATCATCAAAATAGACCACCACGAATTTTCCAATGTTAGCTCTCAAAACATGGTTCATTAAACTAATAAAAGTGTCAGCTGCATTAGTTAAACCGAAAGGCATAACCAACCACTCATATA